TCTTACCAACACCCATATAATCTGTTTCTTAATCTTTTGTTGGTTTTGTACCCTTTACAATTTCGTCACCTTTCATTAGTTTCGTCATCTTTCGTCAGTTTTGTCATCTTTCGCTAGTTTCGTCACCTTTCGTCAGTTTCGTCACCTTTTTCCAGTTTCGTCATTTCGTCATTCGAGATTTTAGTTGACGAAAGACGAAACTAGGATTCGCATTTCGTCAGCGCGAAACCTCAAGGTTTCGTCTAACAACTATAGTATCATCGTTATCATATTGTAAAACCATATTATAATACCCATTGTCGTCTATTTATTTGTAATTAAAATTAATGCTCTAGAATTAAAATATTTATTATCTCATAAATAATAAATTGCAATATACCTTTCGTGACTCCATGAAAAGCAATAACATTTTGATGGTTACCAACTTTTTGTAATAATTTGAGCTTTATACACAGATAATAAACATTTAATATTTATTTAATTTAATTTAATAACCAATGTATATAAATTTTTAGTTATAGATAATAAATAATACCTCACTAATAAAGTCATTAATAATATTTTTATCTAAATCTTTGTTGTCAACTCTAATACATTTGAGAGCAATTGTTAACTCGCAGTCTTTCCATTCGTATTTGTAAACTGCTGCATAACCTCCTTTACCAATCACCGTACGTTCGTAAATTTTTTATATTCAAGGTAATTAATATGTCCATCTGAAATAGCTCTTTCGAGCCATTCTTCTGGAACTTCTAACGTATTTGTCATGACTTTGCTAGTGAACATTTTGATCAAGAATGCTGCATATATATTGCATATGTGGCACTGCATTATAATTCAACCTTATCTGTGCAAACAGAAACCCGTTATTACGATCGGCGAGGTGTTTTCGATAAAATAGGTTCATCATGAACAAAAGCAGGCCTACATATAATTGTTTGTGAGGGAATTAATTGCAATTGCAATTAATTGAATGGTTGCGCAGCCACAATGAGTCAATTAATGCGATGTGATGGTGAATAACATGATCGAAAGTAGGGCAAACCACACGACCACAACGTCACCATCACAGGTTAGACCCAAAGTGTGTGAGGATCAGGAACTAACGGCAAAAGAAGGAATCAAGATATGGGAAGATCAAAAGACGAATGTGGACGATAATGAGAACCACATATGCTTAGCGTAAAGAATCAAACACAGCAGATAAGTATAAGTAATGAACAAACAGAATCAAAATCCCTAGCTGAAAATTTCCGAAGCGGAAGTTCTCGCTACCCACCTTACCAACCAAAGAAACTTTGAAAACATGTTATTCCATCATTTCGTGACGCATCATTCCATCACATACAGCCGGCTTGTTTCAATAGGCGGGGAATGGCCACACTGGCTGATCCTACGGCGACCAGTGCAATTATGTTAGATTCTTCGCGGGGTTTCGTCGTTCTGACAAACTTGGCCAATTACTCAATTTACTATCATGTATTCTCGATAAATATCATTTCCGCCCTAAATTGTCTGTTATTTCGTTGCAATTTTTACGTAATTAGCTTACATATCATTTGATAATCCTTACCTCTTTTCTGACATCAAGATGTGCCAGTACCTTAAAATTTTAGACTTTTTTGATACTGATCATCATGTATCACAAGCCAGCCAATCACTTTTAAGTAGTGCTTGGATCTGTTCAAAAAATCCGATGGATTTCCTATTAGATATCCCGTTCATATCGGATAGCGAAAATATTTTTCTAGATAGTCGGATATCTATTAAGCTATCCGATACTTCAATTAATAATGATGATGTATTAATATTAGCATTAATAAATGATATATATTTTTTGGATATCTATTAAACTATCTGATACTTCGATTAATAATGATGATGCAACCGTTGATGTTACACGATTGATGCTTCACCCGGTGAAACATATAAAAAAATAATTTTACAATACAATACCAGATCATTCCGCTAGTACATGTTATGATTATAATCCAACTCAATTTTATTATAATAAATGGTGATAGCTATCTTTAATTATATATTTGTTGAGTGGTTTCATATTAATAACTGCTCTAATTTTTTCTGTATCATCTTCTTTCTTCTGTACTAGAAAACAGTAGTAAGCACATTCTCCAGACCCTTTTGTCAATAATCTGTATTCAATCATTTCTCTTAATTGATTCTTAATTAAGTTTCTTGTTTCAGGATTATTTATCCTTATTGACCGGAGTCTCATAGACGGGACGATTACATCACCTGTTCTGACTTTATATTCAACAAGGTTCGTTTTACCAATATCTTTTAGTTCATATACAAAAACTTCGGGTACTCTTTTTATTAATCGATTTCATTGGCTGATAATGTGCCTTATGTCCCAAGTTTATTAGCACACTATTTTCTTTTGTCAGTCTTGATATAACAGGTACTTCTTAAATAATATTTCTTCTGATTGTTCATATTTAATAGGCTTAATTTCATGTGCCTTTATGTTTTGTCTATTTTTCACTTTACCAACAACCTTTTGTACTGAACTATTCTTATGTATATCTTCTAACTCATTTGCAACTATTTGGGCTGCCGTCAATAGAAATAAGGCAGATCGACGTTTTAAAAAAAATCTGTACCTCAAATTTCACAGCTAACATCTCGATGAATTTTGAAGCTATCTTGATAATTTAATAATAAAAAAAGAAATATTAAGTTCTAAGCTTTCCTTTGAATACTGAATCATCAAGATAGCTTCAAAATTCATCGAGATATGAGCTGTGAAAGTTGAGGTATGGATTTTTTTTAAAATGTCAATCTCCCTGATTTCTATTGACGGCAGCCCACTGTCTCATTGCTATAATATAATCAACTTCTTCATAACCACTTTCATTGTCACTATTGATTTCTTCTTCAAAGTCATTAATTTGTATTTTTCTAATCCAGATCAACCCTTGTATTTGTTGAATTAAAGATGCAATTTGAGTAGCTAATCCTAAATAGGATCCAGATATTGACTATAAGATATGCTGTTTCTTTTAATTAAGGTATATAATTGTCACGAGATTAAGTGATACTAACAATTTAGACCGGAATCTGACCAAATACGAATTTAACAAACACTCGCTTATTTATTTATTGAAAATGATATTGTCAACCAAATACAGTATGGATTATTTTTTTATTCAAAATATCAAAACTCTGAAACTTCTAAGATCTCTAAGATCTCTACTTATACATAAGTACTATATAATTACATTATTACTAATTACATAGTTTATTTAACTCTATTACAGTCAGACCTCTCTCTCTAAGTGCACGCCCTTGAGACCACACTTTAATAACGTGTATATAGAGAATAATAAGAAAAAGTGCATTTATAGAGGTCATTTATATGTTTGGGCCCCACTTATAGAGGGTGTATTTAGAGAGGTCTAACTGTATTGTTATTGTTCTGCAATTACTTTAAGCTTTTGATCGTCACTTTTACTTCGGGTTACCGTCACACACGTGACATCAATCTACTGTTTTTGATAATTCACTATACACAATCAGCACTATATGTTACTATCAGTTGGGAGAGCAATTGCGGATGTTAATCCAATTTAGCTCTGATGGTTAACTTATGTCAGGATTTATAACACTTGTACACGTGATATGATGTCGCGAAACACTTAAACTGAGTTGAGTTTTATAACTTAATGATCAACTTTAAATATTCGGGGGTAATTTATTATGAAATAATAAGAAATGCAAGACAATAATAGAGAAATATGAATACAATTATAAAATAATAAAACTAAACCAATAAAATAATACACATGTGAGAATTCTTATTATAAACTCTATAACTAAGACATCGTACGTTCTCTGAGACATTGTCTGAGGAAACTTAACTAAGGCGAAAACTCAGGCCTTATATACCTTTCAATTTACTAAGAACTACTGCGCGATCTTTAAACTCCACCTTATCTTCACAGCAACCCGTGTTAGATAGCCACCAAATATTGCTCACAACTCTGCTTACAATTCTGTTCACAATTCTGCTCACAATTCTGCTCACAATTTTACTAACAATTACTGGCTTTTTACACTGCACATTCCTAAGCACACAACAATGGTTCTAAATATTTACCACCATGATTGCTCTTTATATAATGTTTATCATATGATGAAAGTAACCAACAATCGGGGATTAATTTATATCTCTAAGCCTTCAGCCGCCACTTAGGAGCCTCATAATATTCTTGTGGCTCAGGTCGTTTGGGCGTTTAGTATCACCAAGTCACATCCAAGCCACGGGATTAGAATTAAAACCGTGACAATATGAAAAATAATGCTGCAATTTTATTGATCAAAAAAAAATTGATGTACAGTATACAGATACGAATTTGATGTTCGAAAATCATTCGCCTTTCTTTTCTAGTTGGTTTTTTTATCATTCATTGCTTGAAATTCATGTGATCAAAGCAACATTTGTGCATAAAATTAATGTGCAAATCTAAAATTTTTATATTTTGCAAAATTATACCAATTGTAAAATAACATATTATTTTTAAACTTACAAATGATATGTGCAATTTCTAATAAACATACTATAAATCTCGGAACATATATATACGTGTCTGCATCATTTTCAATTATTGATTGACATATATCGTATATTAATTAAGAAATGACATGCACGTATTTGATTTTAGAATTTTTACATTTGGTAACATTTCTGTCTTTCAGTATGTTTTTGACTTTCATTAACTTTTTTGACTTTCGTATTTTGTACTTTCGCGTAATGGATTTACCGAAAGCATTTGCACTAAATCATTTTCGACAAGTACTCTTAAACCCGACAAAGTAATAAAATTTTATTCATTAACGTACACCAATACATTTCATGCATGGACTTACACTTTGTATTTCCCATAAATAAAATAAATAAAGGACTTTATTAAGCAATAAATTTTTTTGTCTCATAGACTATTAAATATTCAAAACGAATAAAATTATAAATTTCAACTATGTCACAAGAAATATTTAATAACTTAAATAATGAACAAAAAGCAGAAATAAAACATATACGTTTTTGTAAAGGTGATGGACAACTTTCAATTTCAAATTATACACTTCATATTTATAGTAATCATCCAGATTTTGGCGAATTGAAAGGTGAATTGGACTTGGCACCTTTTCCTAATCTTATAAAAATCGAGTTTAAAATCAACATTCAACTTAATATTTTAGAAAGGATTGACATTAGTAAAAATCATAAATTAAATAAAATAATGATAACATTGAATCCTTATTCGCTTTTTTGGAATTGTTATTTTATTTTGCTTGTTAAAAAAGTGCAAATTAATAGAGTAATTATAACTTATAATGAAACGTCGGGTTCAGGAACTTTTGTAACAAATAAATATTTGAATGAGCAAGCTTTAATGTCATATTTAGTGGTAGAAGACATGAAATTAGAAGATAAAGATAGAAAAATAAGACAATTAGAAACAGAAGTTGCAAGTCTCAAACAATCTCTTATCGAAAATGATAGAATTATAGCAGATTTAAATAGACAAATTCAACAAACGCTTACACTTAGTCAATTTCAAGAGTTAAGTAATCTAAAACAAGAAACTAACGGACTTGAGTTAAGAAATATCAATTCCAATGTTTGTGAGCAAAAGGATGACATCGAAAATTTAACAACTAGTGTAAAAAATAAAGCAAGCGATAATTTAAAAACAATTTTAGAACTATTCTTACAAACCAACAAACAAATGATTGACCTTTTGCTCGAGAACAGTAGCAAGGATAACTAATTATTTGTTAAGCTCTTTTTACGAACTAAAATTATTTGAGAAGAATTATAACGCCCTGCTAAAATAATTAAAATAATTAAAAAAGCTTATAAAGATAGAAAAAACAATATTACCGTAAACTGCTGATTAGTGTATCCAAATAATTACAATGACTTAGAGATGTACCCGAGGTAATTTTTTTTCATTTAGTTTAACCAATTTTTTAAAGTTATTTTTACCCATAAGGGGTTTTGCATGACATAGAAGTACCGATTTTTTTGAATGAACCTTGTATATTAATCATATATAAAAGGAATTTTAACTCTCGAATAGCCCTGGGTACAAATCGTCAGGGGTATACAAGTACGTTGTAGGACATTCGCAAACAATGTTAAGGAAATTTAAACTGTATAAAATAATAGCTTCTTTAGTGGAGTTGACCAATGGAACCAATTAGAATGATACATCTGCATTAGATGATAGTGTTAGAATTTCTGGTTTATTACGATTTCTGAATCTTGAATCATGTGTTCTTTTTTTTAATTATCACAACAAATTTTTTGCTTAACCTAAAAATTAGGGTTAAATTGTAATAATTAAAGGGAAAAATTTTTATCAAAATTTTCGGTTTAATATCAACCTATTTAATAAACATTTTTTCAATCCATGCTTTTATATTTAATGAACTCCACATTATATTTATTTTTGGTGATATTTAAAGTATCAAATCTACTATAAAAACTCGTTTAGTTAGAAGTTATAATGATCTTTAAATCAAAATCACATAGATGTCTTTAATATTATAAAAAAAAATAATAATAATAATTCGAAAGTATAAAAATTTTCGATTCGTAAATCATTACATTGAAATCTATTGAAAATACGCCTTGTCCACTATTTTTCAGAGAAAAAGCGTGTTTGTTTGAATATAAAGAATTTAATAATAAAAACATCTACTAATATAAATTTAAAAGATCTCGTAGATCAGGCAATATTGATGAAATTTGAAAAGTAGTTGTAGGTTCGTCTGTGACCGAAGGGCACGTCATAACGCGGTGTCTGCTGTGAAGTTATCATTAACAACATGACCCAATAACTACATGCATGTTATTGGGTCATTTCTACAAATTTTGTCCACTTCCGATAGGAGGTGAACAAAGTTTGTGTATCATGTATTAAAAATGACCGATAACATGCATGAAAATGGCTAGGTACTCAAATGAGTGTACAATAATACAAAATTATTGGCTGCTTCGCATCCAATAACTATATAGTATTAATAAATAAACTGTTAATCTGTACGAAAATATCTTGCAATAAAAAAAAAAGGGTTTACAATTAATTATGAATAAGTTGTAAACTCGCATAAGAATGATTCAAATATCAATTAAAGATCATTTAATGAAAAAAGTTATTACTTATCTTTCTTATTTATTACCATTAAACAATTTACGAAAAAATTTTTTCCATAGATTAATACTTGAACATATAATTCCATTTAATAGTAAGATAGATACGACTTGCAAGAAAATTTTCTTTAATTTGTTTAAAAAATTATCGTTAAAAAGGTCATTCCTCAAAATATGATGATTTTTAGATTTGATTACGTAACTGATTTCTTGGTGAATCATATGCAAATATGACTGTCAAAAACTCTACCTATTAGGGAATAAATGGATACGAATCTTACGCTTTTCACTATAATTACCCACGCAATCATATTAACCATGTGAGAAATTATAAAGAAAGTAAGGCGAACATTATTCCAAATTTTTTTTTGAGATTGTACAAGCAGAAGCTTCATTTATGATCACTAATACCCAATAGTCAGAGCTGAGAAAATTTCAGAAAGTTGGACAATTAGAAAGAATTCAGGAGAGATGGTATTTCAGTAAGCACATTGGTTATTTGGATAAATTTAAACGAATATGGTTAAAAAGATAAACATTAACCCGATATTCAAACTTATATCGGACATTTCTTAATGTCCTATGACATCAGTGACACTTACCCAGGTTCATTAATATAGAAAAAAGGCTTCTTTTTTTAAACCATTTCTCTCAATCTTTTTGATAGCTATAAACTTTCATATACAACCTTGAATGATTTTTTTCCTATTATCTATTGCTGTATTGCAAATAAGTTATTAACAATCAATTTTATACCCTTGCCTTGCACAATTACGTCAGATGTATCGGTATTACAACAATAGACCAACAATGGTTATATGATAAAGTAACAAATAAATATGTAAATACTACCCCTTATATCACAGTACTGTGAAATCGTTTACAAATTTTTAT